CATCAAAAGGAATGAGATCTTGCCATTTGCAACGACGTGGATGGAACTGGAGGGTATGATGCTGAGCGAAATAATCAGAGAAAGACATGTATCATATGACTTCACTGATACGAGGAATTCTTAATCTCAGGAAACAAACTGAGGGTTGCTGGAGTGGTGGGGGATGGGAGGGATGGGATGGCTGAGTGATAGACATTGGGGAGGGTATGTGTTATGGCGAGCGCTGTGAAGTGTGCAAGACTGTTGAATCACAGATCTGTACCTCTGAAGCAAATAATACATTATACGTTAAAAAAAAGAAGAAGAAGAAGATGATAGCAGGAGGGGAAGAATGAAGGGCAGGGAATCGGAGGGGGAAACGAACCATGAGAGACTACAGACTCCGAGAAACAAACTGAGGGTTCTAGAGGGGAGGGGGATGGGAGGATGGGTTAGCCTGGTGGTGGGTATTGGAGAGGGCACATTCTGCATGGAGCACTAGGTGTTATATGCAGACAATGAATCATGGAACACTACATCAAAAGCTAATGATGTAATGTATGGTGATTAACAAAACAAAAAAAAAAAAGAAAGAAAAAAATAGAGTTAATGATTTGAATCCTGAATCTCCCACTTACTAGCTATGGGAAGTTACGAACATATTTAAGATTGTGTCCTCATCTGTAAAGTGGGATACTGTCTACCTCAAGGGGTCCAGGGAGTATGGAAGGAGATACCTAACACTTACTAATGCCTGCCAATAGCACTCAGTAATTATTACAGATAAAAGGAATAGAGGGAAAAGCACATGAAAAACATGCCTGTGAAGAGATAAAACTATGGCTCTCAGTTAAATTCAAACATTGTTGATTAGAATGTAATAGGATTTTTTTTTAAGATTTATTTATTTGAAGAGAGAGAGTGCACACGGGGGAGGGTGGGCACAGAGGGAGAGGGAGGGAGAGAGAATCTCAAGCAGATTCTATGCTGAGCCGGGAGCCTGACGTGGGGCTCAATCTCACCACCCTGAGATCACAACCTGAGCCGAAATCAAAAGTCAGACGCTCAACCAACTGTGCCACCCAGGCACCTCTAGAATAGGATTAAAAAAACCCCAAATCTTTACTGTACTTTACAGATTGCAAATAAATAGCACTGTCAAAGCTTGGTGACTGTTTCCTTATACTGATGGGAAACTTACTTCCACTGGAAATTTATAAAGTTTGAGGACAGTGACATCCTTTCAGCTTTACTGATGAAGATTCCTTGATTTAAATTCAATCTTACCTAGTGTTCTTCAGAATTTCTGCTTTAGAATAATACACATTATAGCTTCTAACCCAACTGATGAATGTGGTGATCGATTTTATTTTCTTTTGACAAAAAGGAAAGGATCAAGTCATACCCCATGCTGCACCACTGTTTCAGGGAAGCGTCTCAAAAGTAGAAGCAACATTTCTGATCGTTCCAACGTGTTGAAGCATTGTTCCGTAACCTTTAGTAACATTTCGCACTGGACCCGACCAGGGAGAGTTTCAAATAAACCTGTACATAACACATTTTACTTTAAAAAATTTCTTTCAGAAAGAAAATCCCGAAGCTAAAGTGGAAATAAGGCATTTTCATGTACAGAACAGTAAATACTACATTTAGAATCACTGTTTGAGTTTTACCTACAACCTAGAAGGCCTTTGGGTCAGATGGTATTGGACACAGATGTTTGCTGAATGACCCTAAAACATTTGGAGGCCTTATTGGATCCAGAAGACAAGAATGGCATAAGTGAAGGGTCACAACAGTGCTTGTTGGCTGAGATAAAGATGATGCATTTGTTTAAGGTGAAATGACCTAAACCACCCACTTTTTTATCCAGAATTTGAAATCTTTGATTGGCTATGGCAACCAACACAGAGTGAAGGTTAATGAGAAAGGTCATAAATCACTAAAAGTTTCTCTCCTGTTTTGTGGAGATCTGCCTAATCTACAGATGCTTTCTGATCACTATAAAATCTGTTAAAAATATATTCAATTCCCTGGGCTAACTGATAAATCTACACCCTTTAAGGAAGCTTAGAGGTTTCTATACAAATACTCAAGGGACCAAGTAACACCATTTGAATAGACTTCAGTTGTCAAGAACAAACACACATTTGGGTACCAATACCACAGATGTTGAATTTTCTGTGAAATTACTGTATATAACTTAGTATTTCAGAAGCGGTAATTTATACACCATTAGTTATTACTCCATTCTTACTTCTTAAAAATTGGGTTTGTTTATCCTGTGAATCGTTCCTTAATGCTGATGTAATAATGCTGATTTCTCTCCACACCACCGGCTGATCTGGGAAATTCACAAACCTATTTTAAAATTAATGCATTAAATTAAAATGTCAGATTCTATATAGTATTACAAAAAGAAAAGAACATTAGCATATGGAGAAATACACATTTTTCTTTATTACAAGTGAATATGTAGATGTACCGAAACAAGCCAAAATAAAGATATAAAAATAAAAACTAAGGAAAATGAAGTTAATCACAAAAGTCTTTAGAGTTTTTTATAAGTGAAAAAACAAATGACCATAATATATAAAGCGTTCCTAAATATCAACAAGAAAAAAGAACTAAAAGAAAAAAAAAAAAACCTACCCAAAAGAAAAAGTGGGCAAAGGCAAATCACAGAAAGAATACAGCCAAAGAGAACCCTTGAAAAGATACTCAGTCTTATTAGTAATACAATGAACACAAATTTTTAAAAAATAGTAAGATACCACTTTCTATCACACTGGCAAAAATTAAAATATGATAGAAAGACTGATAATATCCAATGCTGGCAAATGTGTGGGAAAATGGGCACTCTTATACACTGCTAGTAGAAATGTAAATTGGAATAGTATTTTTTGGAGAGTAATTTGATAGTGTATTGTGTATACCCTTGACTGTGAAAATCAATGTTTAAGAATCTACTCTATAGAAAAACACTAAAATATGGGTACAAAATTGCTTACTGACACTCTGAATATAATCTCAAATAATTGGAAACTACCTCAATGTCCACCAGTATTATGAAATGCTATGCAAATATGCAAAAGAAGAGCTCTACATACTGAAAAATAAAGGCATCCCTCCATGGCCGGGGGTGAAGAAAGCAAGCTGCAGTGTGACGTATGTAGCATGATTTCACTTTTGTAACCCTTCCCCACAAAAACCAACCTTCATGTATTGTACTGTGTACACATGTACACAGTACATTTGTGTATACGCAGACACACAAAACTTAACTGGTTGAGTTGGAGGGACTTGCACTTGTTATTCTCTACACTTCAGTATTGTCTGAACTGCAAAGAGCACGTATTATTTCCACGTATTATTTCTAAAGCAAAATAAATTATTGTGAATAAAAGTTTTCCCAAGAATAAAATATAAGAAGACTTCTCTGCAGAAGGCATGTCAGCAGTTAACTGAAGGCCTAGCCGTAAGACTAAGTAAGCTTTAGATACCAGAGATGTAGATGAACTTGAAGATCCTCCCCCAACTCCCACTTCCACACACAGACAAAACCTCACGAGAGATCCCGGGCGCTGCAGGTTGAACTCACATGTCGTACAGCAGTCTCCCAGCGGTGGCGGTCCTCTCGGCATTCCGCTCAATGGTGTACATCTCATACTGAAACACATATCAGCCCAGAGGGTCACAACCTCCGCCCGGGGCTTGGTCCTAGCTCACCGCCCGCAGCGCTAGCTGGCCTTCACTCAGCACTCCGAACCCGGGAGGGCCTGATAGCAAAGCATCACCTGGTGGCACAGAGCCACGGGGCTTACGAGTGCGACCCTCGAGCTCACTTACAATCCTTCGGTACCCAAGAATGGAGGAATACTGTCTCAAAAGTAGCAGGCACTAAACAAATGGCTGCCATGATGATGAAGGAGCGAGAACGGCCTTTCCCAGGGGCGATGCGGTGCCGTCCCGGCCACCGAGCAGCAAAACACCCCCACGCCTCCAGCCACCCGGACCTCGAGCGGGGTCCGCTGTGTCTCCAGGTGCCGGCCTCGCGGGAGAGGGGACGTGTGAGGGGTGTCGGTGAGCGGGGCGGAGGAGGTGGCGAGAGTGGGAAGAGAGGGTGCGGGGCGGGCCGGACTGGAGGCGGCCGGCCCCTCCAAGGCGGGAAGACCTGGCGGCCAGGGCAGCCCCGGTGCGGCGAAGTGCTCACACCTACGCGGAGGCAGCCGCGTGCACGGGCCTGACCTCACCTGGATGTTAAAGTCGGCGGGGTAGAGGCTGCGGGCTGTGATCAGCCAAGCCTTGGCTGCCCACAGGTCCTGCTGCACCAGCTCCCGGGCTCGCTGCACCAGGAACTCGCAGTCACCCTGGGCCGACATGACCCAGGAGGCGTCAGGCCGCGGGCAGCTGAAGTCGTTTACCTTCCGGCTCTGGAGCCACAGCCGCCGCCGCCGCTGCCGCGGGAGAGGCTTCTGCGCATGTCGAGGTTGGCTAATCCGGAAGAGGTTTTCGGGTTTTGCGAGCAGCCTCCTCCGGTCAGCTCTCAGTAACCGTCCGACCCCTTCCTCCTTTGAGGACCTAGTGTTTTGGTACCGACTTTTCCAGGTCACCTGCAAAATGTGGAGAAGTGGATTCCCACTCTTGCGGGCTCCAGCGTGACTCTCGTCCAGTCAGGGAGCATGCGCGAGAGCCCGTACTCGCCGAGCCGCTTCGGCGGGTTCTTCTATCCCTCTCCTGGAGGTCTGCGGAAGGGCGGTCCCTGGGTGTCCTCGAGTCTGGTATCCCGGACCAGGCTGGAAGAAGTTTGAGAGGAAAAGGCAGAGAGCGGCCTGGAAGGCAGCGGGAAGGAGCGCGCAGAGCTCCCTCGGCCCCGGGCGGAGTTGAGGAACTTGTCCTTGGGTCATTGCCCAGGATTAGGTTTATGGGAAAAAGTCTGAGGCCAGATAAGGGGCCAAGGCACAGAGGGGCAACGTAGTGCCTAGCGTTCGTTCTGGTGCATTTTATCTTTTCTAAGTATGTCCACGTTATATTGTTACGCCTTTATTCGCTGATTTCTGCAACAAACTTTGAGTGCGGTAATTAGTACTTGAAAAGTGCTTTGCTGCATGCAGTAGGGGCTACAAAGATTATTCCTGTCCCAGCAGAGGTTTTACAATGATACGGACATGTGGCCTACAGAAAAATAGGCCATTTTAATGATCTCTTCCCATCAAATCAGTGTCATTTCACTAAAACTCCAGATTTGTTTTCCATTTGAGAGAAGGAAAACGAAATAGTCTCCCTGCTCTGGTGAAGGGGAGGCTGCATTTAAGAGCTGGAGTAGCAATACTTACCTGCCTACTAGGAAGAATGTACCAAAATGTGGATTCATTAGTTTTCAATCCAAGTTCTATATACAAAAAGTTTTAGCAAGTTCTATTTACCACTGGTATCTTTGATTTATTTGATTTAAAGCCAAGAGATTAAGGATTCAAAGCTGGTATGTTTTAAAAATAGAAATTACTAGGTACTTATATACATGAAAAATCATATTTTAAATAAATATGAATATATACATTACTATTCATGGGTATATATAAGGTCTAATTATTCTTACTAATTGTGATAATTTATAAATAAATGATCTTAAAGTTAATAGTGAGTTCGTATGCTAACTTTAGAGATAAGTACCAAGAAGGGCGGGCACAAAGAAATAGTATAAAGCACCACTGCTGTCAAATCCAAGCTCTTTGGGGCGCCCGGGTGGCTCAGCTCGTTAAGCGTCTGCCTTCGGCTCGGGTCGAGCCCCGCATCGGGCTCCCTGCTCGGCGGGAGGCCTGCTTCTCCCTCTCCCACTCCCCCTGCTTGTGTTCCCTCTCACTGTGTCTCTCTCTGTCAAATAAATAAATAAAATCTTTAAAAAAAAAAAAAATCCAAGCTCTTTTATTTTGCTATTTAGTTTATGATACCATTCTAAAAATAGCACTTTTAATTATCTTCCCCTTTACTCAGAAATTTTAAAGGTTTTATTTATTTGAGAGAGAGAGCACGAGATGGGGGAGGGTCAGAGGGAGAAGCAGACTCCTAGCAGAGTAAGGAGCCTGATGTGGGGCTCTATCCTGGGACTCTGGGATTATGACCTGAGCCAAAGTCAGACACTTAACCGACTGAGCCACCCAGGCGCCCCTTTTACTCAAAATTTTTAAAATTTGATTTTGTTTCATTAGTAGCCCCAAAGATATCTTAGCTAGATTCACTGCATTAACATCAGTCATTATCTATTGATTGCGTACTTGGGGAAGCATTCTGGTTCCAAAGATGCTCTTTAATGTCCCCTGATTATGCACAGCAATAGCCTAATCGTGCCATCACTTTGTAGGCCAGGATTGCCCCGTGACAGAATTCTTTTGGCTTTGTAGAAAAGAAGGTAGAAAATTAAACAGTTCAGAGTAATTTTTATCTTATAACATATAGGTCATGAAAACATTGCTGCCTTAAATTTTTTCATTATTTATTTTAATAAAGTGCTATGTAAGGATTTTCGAGTGGCAAAAGTAACTGATTTGGTTTTTAAACTTCATGTTTTGGGTCTGGAATTACCAAAACAAAATTGTACACTCGTCCCTAAGTCTTTAGTTCTCTAGTGTTATGTTAGATTACAGATGTAAATTAATATTTTCCATCTAGGGGCTAAATAAGGGAGCTCTGGTTGTATTTAGGTACCAACCAGTTGAAATAGCCTCTTACTTTTTGCCAGAATACAATGTAAGATTTGTAGCTATTTTCTTGCCAACTTCTTAATTTTGAAAGGTGTCCAGCTAAACATTTCTCCTAGGATGTCATGTTGACATCTGGAAGTACAGAAAGGAGGTACCACACAAGGAGAGTTGCCATATTTTGACCTATTTGCTGTGATCTTGAAGGCTCACCAAGAATCTGAGCTCCTGGCTCACGTTCTCCACCACAACTTCTAAGTCATGTAAAATGCCCGGCATCTAGCCTGAAGTTCCTTAAACTCAGTTCAGTGATTTGTATTAAACTCTATGTTGCTTTTTACCTTCCACCTGAAAAACTTCAAATTCACAAATGCAAATCTTAACTTGCCAGCACTTGGTTCTTTTCAGCAATTTCCTCGTTTCTCTTCTCCTGGATTTTCGCTTCGCGGATTTCTATTTCCTTGACACCTACATTCTTCTAGTATATTTGACTCCTCCTGGACCTTCTCCTTTCCTACTGATGCTAAAGTCTGTGCTCTGACATGCAGCATGTTCAAGGTCTGTGCATTCTGATCCCACCACTATATCCACTCTTCAAGTTACCAACCCTGGATCCAGCCTATGTGCATCTTCCCAGATGTTGAAACTGGCTTGAAATAGGTGCAATAAATATACGTTCAATGAATGCAGAGGAGGCTGAGTTCTCTTGGTGAATAGCACACACAGGTGCAGATTGATGCTGCACCAAATTCCAGGGCTTAGTATCAATTTGAGCCCTCAACTACTCCCACCTCCCATTCTTTCACCAGCTGTTTAAAGCCTTTGTAATTTTTCTCAAGTGCTCATACGCTCTTCACCTTGAGCAGAAGATTTTGCCTTCAGTCGAGGAGATTGAGGCCATCAGGCCTTACTTACCTCCTTCAATTTTGGAACCATGGCCCTATTTATTGTTCAACACCAAACACGTCATGGGGTACATATTCTTAAAACCCTCTTGGTTTCCAATGCGCTGATACCTGGCTTGCAGGCATGGCTCTGCCTTACCTTTTGCTACCACCCCTCCCCCCACAATCCCAGAACTTTCAGTTCTTCCCTGTGGCGTCTTCTCCGACATCCCCAGGCATTCACGTGGGCTATCACATCTGCTCTGCTCAGAACACTCCCTACTGCTAGCGCGGAAGGAACTAATTCTTCGTGTCTCAGATAACACTTCCCTGACCCGTCCCTCCTTGGTTCCATCGTCCTTATACTCCTCCTTGGTTCCATCGTCCTTATACTGTTTTATAACTGATGGTTTGCCAGACATTAAGCTCCATTAGATCAGGGGCCTGTCTCTTACGCTATTACTATCTCAACCCTAAGATATGCCAGGCATGTAGGCTTTCAATACAATTTAGGTGAGTTTTGAATTTTTTTCACCCTTTGCTTATCAATTTGCCTAAACCTTTAATTTTAGAGATTTCATTCCCTCTGGTTTCAGAGGATAGAGGGTCCCTTTTGTTCAAGGCCAAAACCACCCATGCTCTGAATCCTGTAGCCTTGGCTTCCTCAGAAAATCTGCTTTATCCATTATCCTCACATCTACAGTGTCCATCTATTTCTACCGATTCCTACCAGCAGAGGACATATTTTAGGGGGGCTGTTGCAGCTTCCCATTGTTTCTAGTAGAGGCTGTGTGCCCTGCACCGTTCCCCTCTCCCAGGTGACACACCCATTCCCACTGCTGTATGGGCTGCTAACTGCCCACAGCTGCTCCTTCTGTAGAGAATTGCCTTCAGCTTCCTTCAAAAGTTGGCCATTCCCACAGGAGTGATACAAGGTACAAAAGGTAGTGCCCTTGCCTCAAAGGGAGGAAATCTCTGGTATAGTTTATGTTCGGGGCAAGTTTGTCTGAGACTGCATGTATGTTCAGCTCTTTCCTCTTCCCTATCCTGCTTCCTTCCCTTAGAGGCTTTTCTTGAAGGACACTCCCTCAATAAATCATGTGTTCTCAAATCCCTGTCTCAGGATTTCTAGGTAACCCAGCTTCAGACAGTAATTACTCCTGGACATGGGAGCACTATGAGGTACCTCAGAATCCTCTGGGTCCTAGACTAGTCCCTTTGCATCATTTGTGTAGCTGCAACCATTTTCCCTTGGGAATTAGGATCAGTGATCTAATACAGTAGCCCCTTTCCTTTCTGCCTATTGGTTCAGTGGTGGAAGGAGCACCAAATGGTCAGGTGGCAGTCTTGCTTCCAACTCAGTGGAACCCTGACTATGTTCCCTTATGGTTACCCTCCTCTCTTCAGAATTAGGACTTCCAAATCCTCAGAGCACAAGATTTAAGGGGGACAGAAAAAATTCCATTAGTGGATTATTGGGTGTATTTTGAGGGGCTACTCTCTCCTCCTACCCTTGCTTGGTTTAAAGCATATCCTATGTTGATAGGACAGTTCCCCAACCTCACAGGGTGTGGTTTAGCTGACACCCTAATTAAGCCTCCAGTAGACCATATTCCACCATTCTGTCAGGCCGCCTACTTCTGGGTGATGGAAACAGAGTAAGACCAGTGAATGTGCTGGGCCTGTTTCCTCTGCCACATTTCTTTTGCCGTAAAATGAGTTATTGGGCCTGAAGTGATATTGTATGGGATACAATGGTGATGAATAAGGTGTTCTGTAAGTGCATGAATGGTGGAACGGGCAGAATGTTATGGGGACAAATCTGAATAGTATGAATTCCCATGAGGAAAAATCACTCCCTTCTCCATGAAGAACAGGTCCAGTGTTAAGTAATCAGCTTTCCACTAGGTAGCTGGCTGCTCCCCTCACCCTCCACCTGAGGGAAATGGTGCCATATTGGGGGTCTTGTTTTGGCTTCTGCCATTGGCCATTTGGGCACTCAGTGGTAGCTCCAGCCATATCATCCTTGGTGAGGGGAAGTTCATGTTGAGCTCACACATAGCATCCCTGCTGCCATGGCCACTTTTTCGGGGAAACACTGAATGGCTGGGGAAAAGAGATTGACCGACATCCATGGGATGAGTCATCTTGTTTCCACCTGATTTAGTGAGAGTCTTCTTCGCTGTGGATGTCCTCTGGGAAGCATTTATGTAAAATACAACTGCCTTTACATTTTGTACCCATTCTGAGAGTCCACATTATTACTTTCCCAGATCTCTTTGTCACCAATCTTCCAATTTTGCTCTTTCCAAGCCCCTGATCTATCAGATAATCTGTCAGTGACTTCCCATGTCAGTAGAGATTCATACCTCAGATCCAGAATGGACCATTGGATGAACTGCCCAAAGTTCTACCTGCTGGAGATATTTCCTTTTATTGTGTCTTAGGGCTAACCCTGAGTATGGCTGTCATTTGGTGGTCACCCACTTCCAGATGCCAGCGTACTGTGCACACCCTTGTGTACACCAGGTACTCTCATGAGGCCACAGACGTGAGCTCAGGGAGAGGTGGTAAGGCCATAGACATATCTACAGGGGACTCTGAGCCATACTCATGAAAATTTCTTGTGATTTTCAGACCTGCTCAGGCTCTCTCTTATCTATTATATTTCCACTAAATAGTAGAATGATTCTACACACTCCTAATTTTTTAATGGGATCATAAATGATGTTTTAGATAATGGAAAGTTCATGATGTGCATCTCAGATCACAGGCAGTTGATATCCCACAGGTCAGGGGTCAATGTCCACCAGGCTCCAGTACCAATCTGGGAACTGCTTTTTTTTTTTTTTTTAAGATTTTATTTTATTTATTTGAGAGAGAGAGAGAACAAGCAGGGGGAGC